CGCAAATCGCAAGCTTTATATGCGAATGTTGAGAAAAGAAAGACAGCCCTGGTAAGAAATTGCAGAGTCGAAAATGAAAATAATGACACATATATATATATATATATATATTTTTTGTCTCCCCTTTAGTATCCAGAACTTCACTCTGATTAATTCAGATCGACTCGCATCGCGCACTTGAAAATGGTGGATGAATCTCTTAACAAAAACTGCTACGTATACAAGATTTCAAATTTAAAATTTTATTTAAACTGAAATAAATCACTTATCACTTAATCCAACCTCTCGTTAATTGAAAATAATAATAGTATTATATGGCATAACATGGGAGCTAGATATTGGTGATGGAATCATAGGGGGGACAATTTGATTTTACTAGCTACATCATCATCATGCATCCTGATAGGAGCTGTAACCCATATGGTGCTTCACAGAGTCACAGCACAGAAGAGTGAAGCTAGCTAGAAAGAGTTACATATGTGAGAGATCGAGAAAGAAGTTAGGAGAGAAGACATTCGGACTGTCCCACTTGCTTTTCCAGCTTTTCTTTAGCTGAAGAAACCCCACTTTCTTTCTATGTTGAATAATTACCGATTAGATGCTGTGACTCCTACTTCTACTCCTACCAACAATAAATGGGATAAGGGTTTTTCAAAGGAAAAAAAAAAACTAAAGGACAATGTGTCAAATGATGTGTGGTCAGGTGAAAAAATCTCCTTCACTCTGGTGGTCTGATTCAGAAATGTGACAAGGGAGAAATGGAAAAGGTGGAATTTACCCCCCTAAAAAAATGTGAGTTAGAGATTTATGCCAAACATGCATGTCCCTTTATGGGTGATCTTGTGTGTTAATAATGCGTTCCTTGATCAATTGCCTTATCTCAAAATTATCATAATAACAGTAATATAATGCGTTCCTTGGTCGATGTATGTTAGCTGCCCCTTGGTCGATAGATTTTATTAGTGGCTCTGCCGTGACATATGCAAGTTAATAAGGTTAGTGAAGTATTAAAGTGATC